ATTCAAAGGCTCCAGTTGTGGATTCCTTAAGAAAATTTTCATGCCTTGGCTTAGTAGTAGTATTTGGTACCTGGTAGTATCCCGCCCACATGCAAATCATGGAAAAAATTTTCTTTTTCATAAAGATTATTTTACCATGATTTGTTTGGCATGCACTCTGGATTCTGACGTGTGTGTGAAAAAAAGCGTCTTAAAAAGCCTTTGCTGAGGAAGTCCACAAACAAATTATGGAACTATCTCTTTTCTATAAAGACTTAAGGACTACGATTGGTCTGGCACAGCCTGGATTCAGATGTGTGTGAAACACAAAGTACAAATGCTCACGACCTTCTCTTGGTGGAATTTTTCCCCCATCAAAGTGAGGAAGAAAAGCCGGCATCCGGAGCTATAACTGGGTCGATGAACTACTACCAGTTCACCTAGGGTGGATGGTTAAACTACCTGATAACAAACCAAATAGGAAGAGATGTACGAGTCACCCGCAAATTCACAACATCTTAATTGTGGTAGTGGTTGGCAAAACGATTGGACATTCATGTATACGTATGTACTTTGGATGTCCAATCCCATCCCATAGGCGTATAAATCGATGGACTGGACACCGACCCTCCCCTCCCCCCGCATACACGCATACCATCAACAACTGATGATGGTTTTCACGTATCGTACCGTTGCTCTCCGGGTCAGGCTTTAACCAGTGGAGGGCTACGGCTGTGAATTCTCCCAAGAAAATCCGCATACTCTGGCCTGGGCATGGTATTCGCATAATTATATTTGGTGATGTTCGAAAACCAATGCTGTTTGTTAAGATAAATCGAAAAACTATCAGTACGCAGTAGGGTAAACAGTGTCAGAATAACTTAGGTTTAACCAATGCCCCTCATACCAGGAAATTGCGTTATCATATTCAAGAATGCGTACTCCCCTGTCATATGCCCATCAACCATTAAAATAGAGAAACTATCTACGACAACTACAGATTTAGAATTTACTTAAAATTAGATATATCACGAAAAATACGATCAGTATAATAAAAAGGCGTTTCAAGGACAAACCGGGTTGTATTTTTGCATGATCTCAAAGGTACTTGGACTTGGAGCAAGAGCATGAGGTAGAAACGCATTTCAGAGCGCACGATGTGCCTCGGTTTCGTATGAACTGGATTAAAGCCTGCGAAAGCTCTGTGAATTAAAAGAAAAATCTTAATGTGCAGAGATACAATGCGGTAGATGATGTAGACCCCAGATTAACCACGATATATGGTCAAGTGATTTGGGGAGTACGTATCTTGAGGGGGGGGGCATGAACGATGGTTGAGAAGGTACAGTCAGCGTGGGAGAATGCTGGCACATACCAATTGCAGATGGAGGCAAACAAAAAGGTTTTCTGACTTCAGCAAAAACATCATTGGCATAAGCATACAAACTACTATCATTATATTTCACGTGGCTGAGTCTAGGCTGTGCACCAAACAAATCACGGTACTATAACCTTTCAAGTCTATTATTCGCAATATTCATATACAATGAGGCAACGGTTGAGAGAAAAGCACAAACTTGCAACCAGTGTCAGCTTTTTTTAACTAACCATACGCCTAAGTGCGGCAGTTTTGGTTGCCGTCTTTTGGCAGCTCACTTTCGACGAAGGAGTAGGACGAGTGCTGGAAGCTAGAAGCAGTGCTAAGGTGAACATAGAAACTTGGGCAAACGAAGGTTTCAAAGAAAAAGATCAGATACCCGAGTACCACTGTTTACAACACTCAGGCATATCACTCGGCGTCTCTAACGATCGATTATGCTAATTTTAGGATCACAAACCAGGAAGCCTAACACAAACTTGAATTACTAGTCCCCTTGTCAGGGCTTTCGTATTTTCCTGACTGTTCTTAATTTGAAACCCCTTGACTTTTTCCCCGCCCATTAACTGCCTCAGCCAATAGGCCGTGGAAGTCTAGGAGGTGACATAAATAAGATATGTCCCAACCAACGTCATTGATCGAGATCGAGCACTTCCTCCAGTGAGCGCCTGAAACTGCCTAAAACTCTACGTCCAACCTTGGTATTATTTATCCGGTTACTCTACCTGCCTCAAACAATATAGTCTTGATAGCGGTGTTTGAACACGGATGGTTTTTTGATGTGGTAGACGACTCCTCTGTCACTCAGCTCACTAGCACATTTGATCTATTGAAGCCCTATATGTTCCGCTACCCCAAATCTCAGTATCACCGTTGCCCGTCTCCTTCTCAAAACACATGACGATCAGTTTCAGTTTTTACAACCATTAACCATGCCATTTCGTGCACCGGTTTTGGTTGATGCCTTTTGACTGCCCATTTGGACAAAACAGAACGAAGATTGGAATGTTGAGAGTAGAGACAAAGGGGGAGATGGAGAATTCATACAAACTGAGGTTGCAATGATGATGAGTAGATGCATAAGCCCCACTGTTTGCAACACCAATTCATATCAAGTGTTGCCATGATCTCAACGTTCCCATTCAGGGAACCTGACGGCACCTATGTGGCCCAGTGTCCTGGTTGGGAAATTCATATCCTCGTGCCAGGTCTTTGTTTGACCACCCTTGGCGATTTTCAAAACGCCTCTTGACTCGGAAAGTATCACGCACTGTGGCAACCAATATGGTGACATGCGCAACACATCCCAACCAACGTAGTCTCTGGAGGTCGACTACTTGCTCCAGTGGATGACCGCAATTACCTAAAACTCTATGCCTACCTTCAGCATAGCTCGTCCGGGTTCCCCACC